CTTGAATAACTGGAAAGTTAAAAACTGCACTGATGTAAAAGATGGAGTTTCTTTTAATAACACAAGTAATTACACAGTTTGTTACCATATTACCTATTTATTAGTGTTATTTTACATCTTTTGATAATTATTATCATTAATGCCATAACCAAACTGTGATGTTATGTGTTCTTTTTTTTAACTACTCCTTTGTGAGTGGCTTGGCATTTCAAGGATTTTTAAACAGTTGCAATCACATGACTAATATGTTCCTTATGTAGAAAAAAGTTTACTTGAGCTGAGTGTTCATTATCTTCACTTCGAACTTTCAGTTTTAACAAGAAAGGAAATAAAAAAGTTTGGCAAGAATGTGGGCTCCTTGCCTTATGTAAGCTGGCATACATCCCACCTCCTGTGGGTAGAGCAGAAAATGGAAGGGAAGAAGATGGTGGTGCTAAACTCCTGCCCACGGCTCCAAATGGAAAGAAATAAGAATCCATCACTTTTATAAACTAGTGAAAGGAATGACTGGCCATACATGCTCTAACATTGCAATTTTTGCCCTTTCTGCTCCATGCCTCTTGAGGTATATGCACCTTAAATATCCACTTGCTCTTCAAGAAAGAGGAGCAGTTGATCCTGCTCAACAGGCATTTGGATAGAGCTATGCAACCTTCACAGTCATGGAATGAGGCCCAGGACCTGGCTACCTTGAATTCCATCATAAGCTTTTACTCTACAATGACCCTTAGAGGTGGGAGGCTAACAGGATATTCTGTTAGGTACACACAAGATCCTGTGGGATTCAGGAAGCCAAAAGAAATATATTCAAGGAATTTGTCCGAACAACTGACTCCTGCTAGACCCCTCTGCCAGGAGAGCATGCTCTAGCACTGTCAGGGAACTGGGCCTGAGCATGAAGACATTTTTGTCTTATTTTAAATTTTGTGTTATTGTTTCCTCTTTGTATTCTCCTAAATTCTAAATGGTTATCATAAACTTTGTTTTCAATGTTCTTTCCTATTTCTTTATCTTAAAAGAAAAAGAATATTGAAAAATAGGAAGGTTTTAAGGAATAACTTAGAAGTTAAGTGTTGGCTTTCTTGCCCAGTTTCTCTGACCTCATGATTTCCACTGAACAAAGAAAAGAAGAAGACTTTTTAGGTGGAATGAACTATAGGAGCAAGGAAACAATGTGCATAACATGGAAAGAAAAGCAGGAATAAAGCTTAGAAAGGGAATTTGGGGACAAACTGTGAAGGCTCTTGAATGCCATAGTAGTTGAAATTTGCTTTATGTTCCGTGGGCAAAGGGGGTCCTCTACGGCTGCAAGAGATGACAGATGTGACCATATCTGTGTTTTAAGTAAGTGACTGTGGTGTCAGTGTAGAGAATGGATTGGGAAGGACTCTAGAATACCAATTAGGAGGTAGCTTCAGTAGTTTAGAAGAGATGATGATGGCCCCAATTAAGGCAGTTTTGATAAAAGTGGACCATATTGGAAAAATTATGTTAGGTGAAGTATTTATAAGACATAGGTTTATGAAAGGCAAAAAGACAACTTGGAAGAAAATAATGCCATAAACTGTGAGCCTGAGATAAAAGAGGTACCATTCAAGAAGGGATTCATTGGAAGAGATGTATATAGTATATTTTATGTTAGGTATGTTGAATTTGAAGTGTCCTGTGATATCCAGATAAAGGTGTCTAGACAACTAGAATCCTAGGATTGGGGATCAGAGGAAAGGTTGAGACTGACGATGAATATTTGGAAGCCATCAGCACAGTCACGACTGGTGAAATTTCTGAAATCGATGAGGTTATCTGCAGGGAGAAAGCATGGAGCAGAAAGGGCCCAGGACAGAACCTTGTAGCTGAGGAGTCATCAGGGAAGAGACTGAGAAGGAACCATCCGAGATAGAAGTGTTGAGAAGAAACTTGGTTTGGAGTTACAGGGAAGTCAGATAGAGTGAGACATGAAACCTAAGTTAAGAAGGCAAAGTAAATTTTATTTAATTTGCTTTATGTTCCGTGGGCAAAGGGGGTCCTCTACGGCTGCAAGAGATGACAGATGTGACCATATCTGTGTTTTAAGTAAGTGACTGTGGTGTCAGTGTAGAGAATGGATTGGGAAGGACTCTAGAATACCAATTAGGAGGTAGCTTCAGTAGTTTAGAAGAGATGATGATGGCCCCAATTAAGGCAGTTTTGATAAAAGTGGACCATATTGGAAAAATTATGTTAGGTGAAGTATTTATAAGACATAGGTTTATGAAAGGCAAAAAGACAACTTGGAAGAAAATAATGCCATAAACTGTGAGCCTGAGATAAAAGAGGTACCATTCAAGAAGGGATTCATTGGAAGAGATGTATATAGTATATTTTATGTTAGGTATGTTGAATTTGAAGTGTCCTGTGATATCCAGATAAAGGTGTCTAGACAACTAGAATCCTAGGATTGGGGATCAGAGGAAAGGTTGAGACTGACGATGAATATTTGGAAGCCATCAGCACAGTCACGACTGGTGAAATTTCTGAAATCGATGAGGTTATCTGCAGGGAGAAAGCATGGAGCAGAAAGGGCCCAGGACAGAACCTTGTAGCTGAGGAGTCATCAGGGAAGAGACTGAGAAGGAACCATCCGAGATAGAAGTGTTGAGAAGAAACTTGGTTTGGAGTTACAGGGAAGTCAGATAGAGTGAGACATGAAACCTAAGTTAAGAAGGCAAAGTAAATTTTATTTCACTCTGTAGAGCACAGTAGGTCTGCCTAAGGTTAGACAGGCAAGCTGTTTACTGTGAGGATTCTTTTTTGGGGTTTTTCACAGGGCAGAAGTCCTTGGTTGACAATCTTTGGCCTTGGAGGCTGGTCTAATTGGTGAAATTGAGACATGGACTGCATTCTGATGTTTGCTGTGCCTGTCCTCTGATGTTTTCTTTACCTGGGGAGTGTCTGTGCTTGGAAGCTTCTCATCTGGGAAGTTGCTTTTCATCTGGGGAGTGTCTGGACATTTCAAGTCACTCCTGGTCCTTGAAACTTCAACTAATTAAATGTGAGTCTTTTCTGGCACTCTGGTTTTATTTGGTTAACTCTTTGAGTTCCTTTTAGTGGGCCTTGCTAGCTTTATTCTCATGTCTGCCTTTCTGCCTAACAACAGAAGAACCACATTGCATAAGCCAAATAAATCTTATTCAAGAAGGAGCAGTTGTTTAGAAAGAACATTCAGAAGAAACATTAAGTTTTGGCCATAAGGAAGTCACTGGTGGCCTTTTGTGAAGGAAAGAATTTCCAAGGATGGGAGGCAGGAAAACATCTTAGTTGCTGAGGCATAGGGAGATTTTGCAGTGAAGTAAAAAAGAGAAAGGTAGCTTGAAGGGAAGAAATTTCTATTTGCTTAGTTCATTAGTTTGCAAAACACTTTTACACCCATTTGTTTACTTGATTCCCAAAGCAACTCAAGAAGTAGGAAGGGCAAGTATTGATATGCCTGGGAACAAAATGAGGTTAAAACCCTTACCCAAAACCATCTATGGCAAATTAAGTGGAAGAACTGAGTTTAGAATTCAGGTCATTTGGCTCTTTCAGGTCATTGATCTTTCCGCTGTGCCAAAACAGAGCTTTTCTAAAGTGTTTGCTCTATTCAGATGGTCGGTGCTGGAGGGCATTGAGCTCTTTGTTTGAGGAGACAAAGGGTAGCAACTGGAAGGTTTTGGGCAAGGGAATGCCATGTTTAAGTCAACTACTGAGGGAGACAAATCTGGTAGTGAGGTGTAGGATGTGTTAAAACAGATTTTCCTGGGGGGAGACCACAAGGACAGGGCATCAAACTGGGGCACAGCTTAAATAATGTCAAATTGCATGCTGAGAAGGTTCCCTTTCATTTCTGTGGATTCTTTTCTGTTGTGTTAAGGATAGGGTCCCAGTTTGCCAGCATCTTTAAACACTCCTCAAATACTCTCTAATCTCCTGTTTGAACAAAGAGAAGACAAGCCTCAAGCTGAAAATACCTGCAAGCAACTTTCTCTCACTAGAACTGAATTCCATTGCTTTATGTTCACTCTACTTTCATGATTACTTCTCAGTTATGACAAATAGTACTGATTTCTCTTTTATAACTATAGAAAGGTTAATATTACATACATTTAAGTAAAAAAAATCAAATTAAGGAAAAATATTGAGCCATTTATAAGACAGGTGATATATACATAGGGAGAAAACACTGTGAATGTGCATTTTAATGACTGAAGTTTGGGGAATTCTGGCAATGGAGACTATTGCAATAGGTGTAACAAGGGTTTAGCCCAGAGAGGGACAATGGCATGGAAAAAGAGAAAGCTTTGATCAACATTTGAAGGAGTTAAAGGAGAGGAAGACAGTTATCTACTTGGGATATTTTCTGCATCATTTCTCAGTATGCTTATGACTGCTGTGATAGAAAACTTAAATCAAAATGCTTGTGCAATATAGCAAAGTTATTATCTCATATATCCAAAAGCCCCAAGGGAAGGTGTTTCCAGGATTGGTTAAGTCAGTGGCTCATTGACATAATTAAAGTCTCAGCTTCCTTCCACCTCCCAAGCTCAGCAAATAAGCTTTGTCTTCATGGCCTCAAAATGGCTAATCTGGCTTAAGCAGTCCCATCATAACATCTGATGCTTCAGCAAGAAGAAGACATGTCTTCCAGAGATGAAGAATGAAGGATGAATAAACTGTTCCCTGAAGGTACTTTCACCAAAAGATTTTCCTTTAGGATTCATTGTCCAAAAATATTTATCATGCATAAATGAGTCATTGCAAAGGAAATCAGATTACCGTTAACGAACCTAGACTAATTAGGATTTATTCTCTAAACTAGAGAGGGAGATCCTTCCCTGAAGGATGGATTTCTCAAAGTTCTAGGGGCTCTGTTAACAGATATGGCCGGTAGGCAGTCAACTATATCTTTTACAATTTATTCCAGTGGTTCTGGAATTCCTCAAATTAACCCTTGAACAGAAGTGAAAAGTCCTTGAGACTTGTGGTTTTTTATTTTTAAAAATTTTATTTGGCTCTTCTTTCCATGTGTTGGATTAAGGCAGAACGAAATACTTCCACTGCAAAATTGACATCACATTTAGTGATGCACATCGAGGGAGCAATGCGGAATGTCTGAGAAAACAAAGGAAAATAGAGCAACAGATGATCACAGAATCAAATACGACTTAGAGGAAATCCACTAAACTAAGAATCCAAAGCCGTGTTTTTATGACATTTCTTATATTTCCCTCAAGGATTGGTCTCCTTCTGCAGGAAGGAGTACTGGATACTCCAGTGCTGTATCCAGGCCGTTCATGCTCCAGTCTTGTAGGAATTCAGGTACTATTTGGCTCTGCCCCATTTCCTTATTGTCATCTGCTGCCTTCCTTATCCTTCCACCACCTTCACGGACATCTTAGGCACTTAACTACACTCCATTTCTGCCGTCACTGAGGGTGACCCTTCTGTCCATGCGTACAACCCAACCAACTAGCTTTTGCAGTTTCTTGATTGCCACAACTTCCAGAACCTTCATCTCCACTCCTCTGCATACATTTACACCCACGGCCATAGCCATGAGTTTCTTCACTAGGAGTAATTCAATTTCTGATCCCTAATACATCTGCCCTTTGCATGAAAACTTCAGTTTCCTCATTCCTCCATTATCTCCAGGTCTATCTCCCTGCTCAGACCTCTTCCTTCCTTTCCTACCAAGCCAGGAGCACGTGGCTGCTAGTCTGAACTACTCTATCACCCGCCCCTTCCTTTGCTTGCATTTCCACCCTTATGCCGCTGCACCCACACAGCAAAGTCCCAGCCCCCTTCAAGCTGTAATTGAACTGCTTTGCTCCAATGTGAATGGCTAAGTAGTATTAGGGAAGATCACACTGCTGGGCAGACTGTCACCACTAGATACTCAGGGTCTCTAACTTGTGCTGGCCCCCTAATTTCTATTGGCTTCTGTCAGCTTCCTTTTCCATTCTAAACCTTTATCATTCTTCTCAATTTCCTCGCTCAACTCCTTTGCCTCTCACTCTGTTTCCTAGATAATCTTGCCTCATGCTTCTCAGAAGCTGTCAGGCAAGATCTTTCTATAAACTTCTTTGCTCCCACATTTGTTCTTTCATTCTTACCTGAAGGTTAAGAGAAAAAAATGTCTCTACTGATTAACTCCAAGTTTCCATCCATGACCTTGGCCCTTGATCCTTCCATCCCCTTCACTCCAGGAAACATCTCGGTGTTCTCCTGCATCTTCTACTTCCTGTCAACTCCCCCATGGCCTATATACAAGCAGACTTAAAGGTCTCATAACCCAAATCCAAACCACACCAAATAAACCTAGGTTGATCCCACTGGTCCCTTTAGTTACCATACAAATGCAATTCCTCTCCTTTTATCCTAACTCACTAAAAGGACGGGTTGATGCTTACTGGGGCAAGGCCATTACTTTTCACTCTGCCCTCCCTCTACTCATATCCCAACCCATTGCAGTCTGGATACTTCCCATATTAACCTTCCAACACCACCCACTGCCTCAAGCCTTATGCTGCATTCACAGTAGTGTGCACGGAGATTTTTGCATTTTGCCATGTGAGCTTGAGTGTTTGTCTCATTGTTGAAGGCTCAGTTTAGCCGGAAAGGCTGGTCCAGGAATCCTTTCTCTTCCCACCTGGAAGATGACCTTGCTATGTTGTATTGTAATTTGCTTTTTATATGTCTTTTTCTCCTGATGGCTCCATGATGAGGGAAGGGATCTTATTTATCATTGTGCCTTTAGTACCCAGCATAGCAACTGCTGCTTAGCACTGAAGTGTTTTCCAGATAATTAAGGAATAACTAAGCAAATAAACAATTACTTGTTTTCATGTCTTTATACATTGTACACTTAGGATTTGTAATCATTAAATTATTCTGTCTGATTCATATACAGAAAGAATATTTGGGACCAAGTCTAGAAAAAAACTCAAGAGAATGTCCCAGCAACAGTGTTCCTTCTAGTTTTGTTTGAGGTGGTGTGGTCTGGGCTGGAGGAGCTTTAGGTCTATTTGTTTATAGGCTGAGGGGAAGTAGAGGAAAAGTTGCAGATACAAGAGAACCCCGCAATGTCTCCTTGAGCAAAGTGGAGGGAGTGCCAAGGGTCAACAGCACGGGTGGGAGTTCTAGATCTGAACAGGAGAGACACCTCATTCTCTGAACCTACAGGAAAGAAGGTAAGAAATGGATGTGGGGAACAGATGAGTATATATAGAGTTTTGGCCTAAGGGTTTCCCTTTCCTTTGCGAAGTAGGAGGCAAGAGCATTCACTGAAATAGAGTGAGAGGTAGGAATGGAGCAGGGAACACTACCTTGTGAGGGTCTTGCTGGTGTGAGCGATTTAGGCCAGATGGAGTCACAAGCAGCAGGCGCAGCCCATGCCCTCCGGGCAGGGCCATACCAGGGTCCTGAGCGTACTTGGCTTTCCAGGGCACAGGCAGGGAGAGCGTGGTCTCTGCATCTCCCTGCCTGATGGTGAAGGGCACTGGAGTGACTGATTTCCAGTTCTGCATTAGGGAGCCAGCCATGGCTGTCCGCCACCTCTCCTGCAGGATCACCTGGGCCTGCCAGTGCTGATAGGTTACCTATCGCCACAGGGTCACTACGTTTTTAGCAGGTTTAGGGTTCACAAAGTCAGAACTCAGGGCTGAGTTAATAATAACTAGGATTGCTCTCACAAGGGTTAGAACTAACTCATACATGAGACAAACTATGTAAGGTATGACTGTGATGACTCTGTTATTACCTATACTGCAAATCCTCTGGTTGGTCTGTGCATTTTTAAGTTTGTCCTCTATTCCCCACTGAACTCCCATAACCCAACCATTTTAACACAGCACCCCCTTGTAGCCAGAAGGCTCCACTTCACCTTTCTTTTAAGAATACCTGAGCATTTTGCCCAGAGGAAGTGTGGCAGTGTTCCTTAGCAGAGTTGTGAAGAAAAACAATCAGCATTGGGGTAGCAGGGAGAAGCCGACCTGAAGTGATTGATAAGGACCAGCCTTCCTCTTACCTGAGAAAAAATGCCACCTCTGCCAACTAGAAGCCCCATGTGTCTGCAGTCCTCGTGGATTTGATTAACTTCCTCACAGGGCAGAGGCTGGCGGCTCGTCTGTAAGTACATTTAAAAAGTATTTTCGGTTTGGTGTTTGATAGGTTAAAGACATTATTTTCAAGAGAAAAATGCAACTCAACGGACCAGTGCTCTTCCTGACCTCGCAGTCTTTCTGGCACCCTGTGATTAAATAAAGTTGTTAATTGCAGGCCTGGATATCTTGGGAGGTGTGTTATTAAAAATGTTTGTATTGCAATTCATCCTAAATTCCCGAAGACAAGTGAAGCTGAGCGCAGGTAGCTAGCTAGTGAAGCCTGGCTCTGCTCATGGGGCTTTGTTCTTTAACAGCTGAATTTGGAGTCTGTTTTATTTACGTGGAAATTCTTACCAACTCTGCACTTTGGTTTGCGCATGTGAAGAGCTCATTTCAGAGTCCAGGAAATGACTTAGAAGTTGCACAAGGGCACAAACAAGTCCACGTTTTCCCTGGGATGCTGGGGAGGGGATGCTTGTCCTCATCTTCCCTGCTTGAGGGATTTGTTCTTTCTCCCCCTCCAGGGTTAGGAGAGATAGGGCTTTGGGAGTCAAGAGTCTGTAGTAGGTCATTGGGCATCTGAAGTTGGTCCCTCTCTGTGGGTCCAGACACGCTCATACCCCTTTGGTGACACCAGGCTGGAGGCTTGGCCCTTTCTTTGCGTCTCCTATCTTCCAAGTTTGTGAGTAAAAATACCTCCCTTTAACTTAGTCATTTCAAGTCTGACTGTGTGCACTACCTGGAGGCCATTTCAAACTACAGATATTTAGGCCTTCTGATAGGCCTACTGAATTAGAATATATAGGGCTGGGCTTAGGCATCGGTATTTGTTAAATGTTCCTCAGATGACTGGGCTGAGAACTACTGCCACTGTCCTCCTGTCTTGAGCCCTGAGAGCTGTCCCTGGTGCTGGTCTCTATTCTGTAGCCCCCAGGCTGGGAATGGGTCTCTTCTCAGATGCATATGTGTGATCCTGGCTTGGACACCAGCGTCTGTGATCCTAGTGAGGTAGGGGAGGGCTCCCTCCAGGCCTCCTACCTTCATTCTCCTAGTCAGGCTTAATATCCAGTCTCCTTCCCCCAGCAATCCCTGACTCAGCTTCTGCCCCAAATCCTCTGTTCCTGGTGAAGGGTCAGAGTCTGAGCACAGACCAGCCAAAACCAGCTCGTTCCAACAGGGAAGAGAAATGGACCCAAACTTCACTCCACAACCCATGCCCAAGGTAAAAATCATACTCCTCAGTTATTAGCGTAGTAAAAATCACACCTCTCCTTAGTGCAACCCCCTCTGGGTCTGCCCACCCCCAACTCTCAGGCTGTACTCTTGTCTTTCTCTGAATTTTATTCTCCAAATAAACCCTTAATGCTCAATGGCTTTTTGTGTCCATTCTTGAATTCTTTCCATCAGCGAGACCAAGGACCCATCTCCGGTAGCACTATGGCTAAGTGAACATCTTGCACGCATTCCACAGAGAAAAGCAGGGCAGAAAACTACAGCGAGGCAGAGCCAGAGAACAGCCTGCCTAGACCTTGTG